TTTTTATAAATTTTGTCCGAACCTTTTGATGGGAAGGATTCACAAGGACCGTACCTACCTACGTCCTACATACATTTTTTTTTATAAATTTTGTCCGAACCTTTTGATGGGAAGGATTCACAAGGACAGAGCCACAGCTAAGCGAAGCTTGTTGCGATGACCCTGTCCTCTACCCTCCGATCGCGCAATTCCGATTCTATGGCAGGATTTAGAGTCCAAAGTTTAACGTGCGCACAAAGCCGCGCACGGCCGGTCCCCTCGCTGACTTCGCCTAGCTACGGCCTGCACCAACCGCAACCATACCTGACAGGAGGACCATAAATGTCGAGCGCCCGTCGCGCTTCGAACCCGGACTGTTATAACCGGGAACGCGTGCTCTCACCACGCGGAGTCCAACGCTCTAACCAACTGAGCTACGGGACCGGCTAGGTAGGTAGAAGGTAAGTTGGTCGCAAGTGCTACTTCATTTGAATTTGTAAAAGGTTGTTCAAGAAATCAGGGGAAGCAGCATCTTTATCAATTTCTTTTCATTCGATAGGTATGACCGACTATTCCCATGGAGACCTATCCAAGACCCAGTCCTTCCCATAACCTGCTGAAATACATGTCAGCGAGCGCTACAAAAGAGGGGCCGCCCTGGCTGAATACCCTCGCCCCGGCACTGACCGTGAGTCGCGGCAGACCGGCCAGGACCGCCAGCGCGGCCGCCGCCACTAGCCCGCCGTGCACGACCATGGCTTCGGAGCGGCGGCGTGCGAGTGCGTCGACGGCCGCGGCCGGCGCTCCCGCGGGGCTGTCGGCGCCGACGGCCGGCCTCTGCCGGCGCGCCGACGGGACCTCCCAGACGCGGGTCAGGGACCTTCGCGGCATCGGTTCATGTATGCATGTACATACCGTGTACATGCATAGGTATGTAATAAAGGTATATCCATTCGAAGATACAGGCCTGAGCGGAAAAGGAACTATCTATATCTTTAGAATGTTCACACTTCACAGTCAGCGCGTGTAACTAGGAAAAAAAGTTGGCATTAACCTTGTGTGTGTCTTAGGAAATGACTGTGTGATCAGTTGTGGTAAATTATAAATGTATGCACCTACTGTACGTATGAAAACATTTACGTTTCAAATGCATAAATGTTCAAATGTAATGTCATTATCGTTTTCGCCGTGAAACCGATTTAGAAGCTGTAAGGAGTACCGCAGACGAGCATAAGCAGTGATATTTGCCACGTCTGGCTCAATTACGTCCGATGGTGATGGACCACCCCGCCACAGCGGTAATACGCGCCACTTACCGGCGCAGCTGGCATCGGACCCAGTGTCTGTATGCGCCCCGTGGCGATCTGCCTTGGCAATGAAAATATTTAGCGGCGCGAATTGGTGTGGTCGATAGCCGCCACAGACGGCGGCCGGTCCATGTGCGCGGCCGGTACCCTACGGGACGCTGTTCCTGAACGGACCGCGGACGCCTCAGGTGCCCACCGGCTGTCGGCGCCCAGTAATTACACCGATAGCCTCACTGCCCGCACCGTACCACTGATGTTATTCAACATCAGCGGACGGTACGTTTAAATTTTGTCTGACCTGTTGTGGCGTTCTGCTAGCTTTTTGCAGCTTCAATTCCCGAAACGGGTTTGTATACGATTATTGCACACAGGCGAAAAATTAGCTGGGGGAGAGCACCGGACGCTGGCTACATCAAAGTCATTAAGCCGATGGGAATCCGGAACGGAGAATGATCCAAATGACATGAAGATCATGACATACAATGACATACAATCATGCTCATGAAAAGCATGATTGAATATTATTCAACATATTTGCGACTTCAAGATTGGGAGGACTTAGTCTTAGACGAAGGATTGAATTGCTTTTGCTTCCTTTTCCTTAAATATCTCTGAGCTGCCCGACCGTTCTATTACAGGGCCGGTCTGTCTCTCAACAATCCGCAGTGCTCAAATGATTTGTTTCTCGTAAATCACCGGAAAACTAATATCGGAGCTCCACGTGTTACACGACCGTTTTCGCTGAGAGCTGTCCGAGTCGTTAACTATGTGTGACAGCTGGCGGCGAGAGGTGGCCCGGCCACTGTCTAACAGTCTGACAAATTACACCAACAGGCTCAGTGCCGTGCCCCCCGGAGAAGGTCACACCGCGACCTAAGACAGCCATTTATTTTTTAATGTGACGAACGTTTGCGTCGACGTCAAATTTGTGGCCTTTTAAGAATCGGCAAAGGACCCCCCCCCCGCCTCCCCGCCGCTACACCGGACGAGATGAACGAGCATTTTGTGAGCGTGGGACCACGTGTAGCCGCTAGCCTGGCTGGCCTCGGTCCGCCGCCTGATGTCCCGTGCCGTCTGCCCCGCGTGGGTGCGTGTGGGTTTCGGGTGGCGGGCACGACCCTTGCCGGCTTGCGGGAGGTTATGTTCTCCATGAGGCGCTCCGGTGCGTGTGGGTCTGATGGCATCTGCATCCGCATCCTACTCCTCTGTTTTGACGCCATAAGTCCCATCCTTCTCCACATTATCAACACATGCCTTACCTCCTGTGACTTCCCCCAAACCTGGAAACACTCCCTGGTGTTCCCTATTTTCAAATCCGGTGATCCTGCCATGACCTCCAATTACCGTCCTATTTCCATTGTACCTGTCATGGCCAAGATTGTTGAGCGTGTGGTGCAGAGCCAGCTGCTTGCCTACATGTCTCACAATCACCTCCTATCCTCATCCCAGCACGGCTTCCGTCCTCGTCATTCGACTGAAACCGCTCTACTATCTGTCACAAACCGTATCCTTTCCAACATGGATCATGGTCATATCTCACTCCTATGTCTCCTGGACCTTAGCAAATGTTTTGATGTCATCCCACATCATCTACTCCTTTCCAAGCTAGAACTGTACAACATAGATCCCACTTGGTTTTCCGCTTACCTTTCCGGTCATTCTCAGTCAGTCTCTATCTCCAGTCCTTCCGGTCGTAGAGTGGTTTCAAAGCCCCTTCCTAACACCATGGGAGTGTTCCAGGGATCCGTCCTCGGTCCTCTCCTGTTCACCATCTTCGCTAATGACCTCAGTCTGCACGCGCCGGACGCCCATGTGATCCAGTACGCTGACGATACCCAAATCCTAATATCCGACGTCAAATCCAATCTCCCATCCCTCATCCAACGCATGGAGACCATCCTTGCATCCCTGTCTTCATGGTTCCATGCTCATGGTCTGAAACTCAACGCTTCCAAAACTGAACTCCTTCTCCTTGGTACCAGACAGAACACCCGGCACCTCCCTCCTGTCAGCGTACGGATCGGTGGGGAGACCGTTCAGGAGAGCCGCACTGCTAAAAATCTCGGCGTTATTTTTGACAAACATCTGACTTGGGAAGCACACGTGACCGATATCGTTCACAAGTGCATCGGCATCCTGATCGGTCTCCGTCACCTGAGACATTTCCTCCCGCAGAGGGCTCTGCTCTCAATAGTTCAGAGTTTGGTGCTTTCGCGAGTATCTTACTGCATCTCAGTTTACGGGAACGGATCCGCGGCGAACGATGCTCGGATGCTCAAGGTTGTCAATTTTGCAGCGCGTGTAGTGACCGGTCTTAGGAAATTTGATCACATCTCTCGAGCGCGAAATCAGTTGTGTTTTATGGTGCCGCGGCAAATGCATGATTTGTATACCTTGACTGCAGCTCACAAGATACTTGTCAGTGGAGAGCCGTCCGAACTGGCCTCACTTTTCCAGTGCTTTTCCGACGCGCGCAATTGTGACCGGCCAACTAGACAGGACGGGCGTCTTCGGCCGCCGGCTTTCCGAACCGTGACCGGACAGCGATCTTTTAGTTACCGAGCTGTGACGCTTCTCAACCGCCTACCAATCGAGACCCGAGCTCTGGGCCCGTCTGCTTTTAAGCGCGCTGCCAAGTCGCTGGTACTGCAGTAGCTTTTACGACCGTGTGTGCATGAGCGGTGTGCGTGTATGTATGCTGTGTACATGTTGCGTGACATCCCTCCCACCTCATTGACACTTTGTTTTATCTATCTAACTTAAGGCACAGAATAGCCACAACCATGTGTGGAGTGTCTGTTGATGTAATACATACATACATACATACAAGGACCAAAACATTTAACACAAAATGAGCATAACAATGCTAATTGATATTTCCCTATTCCAAGCTACAAACCTGCTATATATTTCCGGAGGACATAACCAAATATTTGGGCTTAGTATAAACTGACTAACTAAGTAACAGTGAGTGGGTTGTTGCTGTGCTGTGCCTATCCCGTCCAACAGTAGGTAACTAGTACCTAGTTACTGCGTTGATTTAATAACTCTGGATTTCTGGAAGCTTTGGTACGCTAGGCGTGCTAGCAACACAGCTTATGAGATTTGAGAAAGCTGTCTGCCAAAGGCAGCAGACGAGTAAGTAACGTTCGCTTGATCGCAGCCTTTTACCTACTGATCACCGCTAAGCAACGCTACGCGATGGTCCTCTCCTCGGCTTTGGACTGCGTCTCAAAAGCTACCGTTTCGCCCATTGGTTCCGCTCGGGTGCATAACACTCATCCCAAGAGTCATGCTCATCACTGAAACGTTTTGACCTGGTTCCTAGCCTCCCCGATCCGGTGATTTTGTGCTCCGATAGCCACAACTCAGCATTTCTGTGTGTCTATTTGCGCCGACCCCGTCTCGGGTGTCACAGCCGTCTCCGGGCGCATGAGCAAACGTGTCAGCGAGTCCGTTAGTGCTCGGAGCACGTGCAAACTGGCACGGCGCTGCCGGCTGGGCGCTTTTTCGCGGCGCCGCCGAGACGCACGGCCGCGACGCTACCGGGCTGCGAGTCGCCGGGGCGCGCCGGACCGTGTCCTAGTACAAAGCCGGCGCGACGGCGAGCGCGGCCGCAGAGCGCGCTCCTCCACTGCCGGCGACACCGTTACCCAGTGGCGCTGGAGACCCTGCCGCCGCCGCCGCCGCAGTCGTTCGTGCGCCGGGGTCCGATGAGGGTGGCCTGCTCTAAGAGATCTGCGGCAGAAGGCGGCGCGATGCGGACGCACGGCGGCCCGGAGCGCTACCGGCTGGTGGTGGTGGTAGGTGTGCTGCTGGTGGTGATGACGGCCGCCATCGTGGGCGTCACCGTCTGGGTGGTGACGCAGCAGACGGCCGGCGACGCAGCGCCGCGCCGGCCCTCCGAGACCGTGGTCAACTACGTCGGCTGGGAGGAGGCGCCGCCGCCCGAGAGCGACTCCCACATCATCTCCGGCGACCAGCGGCAACAGGTGAGCGCGTCCACCGCCGAGCCGACCACCACCCGGAGCGGCCTGGACAGCGCGCAGATCCAGGCCAGCCTGGCACAGCTGGGGCCCAACCGGCAGCTGCAGCTGGACCAGCTCCAGCCGGGAGACTACTCCCAGAACGTGGCCGACGTGATGAAGCAGCTCCAGCAGCAGCAGGACCAGCTGGGACAGCAGACGACGCAGCGGCAGCAGCAGCCGATTCGCCAGGGCGGCACCATTCAGGGGTACGGCGTGCTGGAGACGTACCAGCACGACCTGCCGCCGGCGTGGCCGTCCGGTCCCGGCGCCAACCCCGACCGCATGGGCCAGTCCTTCGAGGGCGTGGCGCAGCCGTACGACCCCGCCTTTTCGGCGCCGGGCAGCGGCGGGGCTTGGAGCGGTCCCGGGCGGCAGCAGCTGGGTCACGAGGGCCAGCACCAGGAGGGGATGTACCGCCCGGGGGACCGCCCGGGAGACCGGTACGGGGAGCGGCCCGCAGACCCGGCGAACGCAGGCCGCGGCGGCCAGCCGATGGGGCTGCGGCCGTTCCGCGGCGACTCGGATCGGGCGGCGTTCGCGCGCCGCGGCGAGCAGGAGCGGCCGCGCCGTCCGCCGTTCCGCAGTCGCGACGCGGCCAACCGCACCTACGCGGCCGACGACCCGGCGACCAACGCCGGCCTGGACCTGGCCGTGTCCGGCTGGTCGGCCTTCTCGTTCGGCATGTTTCTGCTCAAGAAGCTGGTGCAGATCATGGGCTACGGCCGGCAGTCGCGCATGGTGCCCGACGAGTCGAGCATGTTCCTGCGCGCGCTCGACGTCGCCGGGAAGATCGTCGGTTTCGACGCGACGGAGGAGCTGTCGGTGCTGGGCGAGGGTCTCTCCGAGGCCCGGTCGTTTCCGGAGACGGGTCCCGAGGACACCGCCGAGCCGGAGATGTCGCGCGTGGACCTCGTCAACGGCCTGTTCCGCGTCGGTCTGAACATGGTGAACCTGTTTACGGCCGAGGGCGAGCTGAACATCTCCGAGTGTCTGTGGGGCGCCTACTGCGAGGACCTTCAGCGGCGCAGCGCCGACGGTACCGTCGACGGCATCGTCGCCAAAGTGAACAGCATCGGCCTGAAGCTGATCCGCGGCGACGTGCGCGACTACATCGGCGTCGGGCAAATGATGGACATGGTGCGCGACTTTGAGGGCAGTCAGTGCCAGAAGCTGTTCCCGGCGTGCCACGGACCGCAGGCGGTACGGTTCGTCGGGGACCTGTTCGGCGGCGCGTGAGCGGCCGCTGCCGAGACGCTGAGTACGGGAGGGTGTGACTTGGTGCCCATCAGCTCCACTCACGGGATTGTGAGCACATTGTGATTCGTGAATGCGTAGGTATTTGATGTTTCAGTTACAAGGCAGATTTGTGAATAAGCGGTATGGGCATGCCAACGGTTTGGCTACGTAGTCAGGTTTGTTGGTGATGGCGGTTAATTCTAATGATGATGTTAGGAAGCAGGATAATCCATACTAGGCCAGTTGCACTAATGCTTGAAAGGCGTATGTTCGTTCCGTTTTGTTTTTGTTTTGTTGTAGTGAACACCATACCGCATCGTGATCATTACCGTGTTGCACCGCATGTATTCCACATCTCAAGGAGCTGGCTTTCATCGGGTACCGATTCTGTGCCGTGCAATCACCACACTCGTACGTTCGCGTCTCGCCGCGGTCACCGGCACCGGTGCCCGCTCATCACGCGCCGGTCCGGCGTGGCGCGGCGCCTCTCCCGCCTGCGGGCCGGGGGCGGGCGTGCAGCGCGCTCCCGTGACCGTCGGGCTCCGGTGGGCGCCGAGCGGTCTGCCACGGCCGGCGCGCCCGACCCGGCCCGGCCCGCCGCCTGGTTTATGTGGCCCGTCGCGCCAGGTCGCGGCCGCTGCCGGTTTGGGTCACTGTGTCAGTGAGGGCGCCACAGCCGTAGGTACTGGTACCTAACCGGACCGGTGACACCGCGACACCGAGCGACCGGCATCACCTGATTTAGTGGCATTGTTTTATTGTGTCCGTCTGTGTGTGCAATGTGCATGATACACTGATGATATTCATGGTGGATAGCTTGTTTGAAATAAACCCTTGTATGATGTGGAACATATTTCATCAAGTGCTATTCGGAACTCGACTTGGAACTCGAGCGCGGAACTTGCGACGCGCTCCTTGCCGGGAATTAATCCTGATCGATCATTTAAAAGGCAAGAAACTTATGTGTCTGACAACCAGAAATGTCTCTGTGAAGGGAAGAACTTCATGGAGTCGAATAACGCTGCGCGGCTGCACCAAGGTGGCGGGGCGGCCCAGTTGACCGCATTGCATCCGCCGGTGGCGGGGGCGGGGGCAGGGGCGGGGGCGGCTCAGCGTCACGCCGTCCGACCCCGCCGGCCGCGCCGCCACGGACCTAATGGATGGCCATTAAGCGGTACACATGCAGAGCACCCACCCGACGTGGGTGTCGGGGGAGGGGGAGGGGGAAAGGCCACAGCGCGGCCCGCCACTGCCTGCCTATCGTGTGATAGGTGATACATTTGACCCCACACAAGTTTCAGCCGCGCCATTGTTGATGACGAAGCTTAGAAGGTGATTTTTGGCCAAGCAGCTCCGCTCCTGGGATAAAAAGGCGCATCAATCTTCGGTTCGGAAAGTATAGCGGCCGTTAATAACCGGGCGTGGGATGCTTCGCTATCGTAAATAAATGGCTCATCACTGGCAAAAAGGAGGATAAGGAGGGTGAACGATGGCCATGTAAATGCGAGGCAATCGACAATCCCTTGACATTGCTGCGGAGACGACTTCAATGTCGGCTGCCAAACCCTTTCATTTAGTGCTAACAGCATACATTTAGGGTGGTCCATTTTGCAAAAGTTTCTAGGATCTTTCGGGCCGGGTCGGAATTCTTGTCGATACCATGATACAAGGTTGTGTGCAAAATTTTATTCCGATCGGATAAATTTATCCCGTCCCGCAAAGCGACCAAAGTTTTCCCTATGTTAACAATAACGGGATGAGCGATAATACGAATTTTCTCACTCAGTCCACATTTTTCGCTCAATACGCACTGGCAGTCATTAAAAAAGAACAGCAAAGGAGAGAAACACATCAGAGTGGAATGGGCATCCGTGAAAATAGCATATCTGGTATAGATAAAAGAACAAAATCCACCGTGCATGCCATCATGTACTATTGGTCTCAATATAAGGGCCCAGGCGACCTTTAGTTTTAATGCGGTGAATACCCTTACCCTCCCCACAGGTCGGGCCGAGTGCATCCCTCCTCCCACCCAGCGCAACCCCCACTCGAATTGTGGCGAGGGTGAGGGTATTCACCGCATCCGAACTACAGGTCGCCTGGGCCCTTATCTTGAGACCAATAGCACCAATAATATCCCTCTCGGATGCAACGCCCGGTGCAGTGGTGCTCCTCGACCTGAGGGAAGTGCTTTCACTATTCCTTGCCGTGCGCGATGGCGCTAAAAATTTCCCACTGGTGAGGGCAACAGTGCAATACCCAGCTCTCGCAAAGTCGTTCACCACCCGTATATGTGCCGGTCGCCGATGAGCAGTGGTCAAGTCGTCATTGTCTGACCACTCGGCGGAGTCGACTTTGAGGAAATCGTGGCTGGCCCCGAGGGATGTACCGACCGACAGATGCAAACGACGCCAGCGAGCGCTGCCCCACTGCGTCGAGGGCGACTTTGGCGCGGCAGGGTTCTTCTCTCTCAGCCGCTGCTGATGGAGGTGGCGATCGCCTCTTTTCCTCGACCGTCGTCCCGTCGTTGAAGAAGGAGAGACCGATGGCCTTGCCCATCACCTTGCCCGGTTACCGTCCAATATCTGTGTGCTAAGCGGTGGGAGCCTTTGCGGAGGGCGATGTCAGTTCACGATGCTGAGGTCGATCAGTGGGCAGACAGTCACGGTGCTACTTACCTTGTGACGATGAAGGTGGTGAACCGGACCATCGTCCTCTTCTCGTGCTCGGTGAGCGCAAGCTGAGGCTGACAGAAGAGTGTTCTTGAGAGATCTTACGTGTTGATCAACTTTGCCATCCAACGAGCACGTTGTAGGGCAACCGGTTTCAGGATGCTCGCTTCCAAGTCACCGTCCATCACGGCGGTGGTGAAGTACACCACATTGCGGTAGTCATCACGGGGCCGCTGCTTCTTCAGCAATGCGCGTCAGGTGACTTTCATCTTGTCGGCGAAGTCAATGAAGTCATTGAGCGGTTTGAACGACACTCGGTCCGTGAGCTGCCACCACTTTACAAACCGCTTGAAGGACGGGATCTCGGGAGTCCCGGGCTGGAAGGCGGATGGTGTGAAAAGTGAAAAGATGCGTCATGCATTTCGTAAGAGGCGTTTCACCCAGCAAGGATTTGCTTCTGGCTGCCAAAACAAGCCACATTTCGGTGATTGGGCGTGTGCCTTTTGCATCTTCAGCGGCCATCCCAGACGCAGGCAAATTCATAACTAGCGTAATGCATTCGCACCTCCTGGCATACAGGGCCTTGCTCCTGGCACTGAGAACAGGAACTGCAACAGGAACTGTGGATTATCGTTCCTGCCTGTGGCTGATAGGAAGACTAGATCTATCATTGAGAAGGCTAGAGAGGGTTGGTGCGTTGAGCAGGCAAGCTCTTTGGTAGATAGCCGCTGGCGCGACTGGGCAATGTTGAAAGACAAATATTCGCCCTATACTGAAGGCTGGTACATATAATGGAAACTTTGACCGCTTTGCGGGACGGGATAAAATCATCCAATCTTAATGAAATTTTGCACAGAAGCTTGTGCTATAGTATCGACAAGAATTCCGACCCGGCCCGATTAATCTGACGAACTTTATTTTTTACCATGTAAATGTGGACCACCCTAATACATATACGTTAAAAGCCCCATCAGCCTTGGCTTTCCTTCCCACCAACACATCCGTATCCGCCGTCACGCTAGCTTTTCTGGGCTGACGGTCGCTCCCACGAGACAACCGGTGTGGTGAGGGCAAGTCCTCGTGTGGGCTACGCCCTCTTGAATGACCGTTTGAGCGGCAGGGCGGGCTCTGTCCCAACGGGACCCGTCCCACCTCCGGTCTCTGCCGCTGCGGAGCGCTTGCGGTGATCTGCTCAGTCCATTGTCCAATGTTTCCACCATATTCTATCATGACGTAGGCAGTTGTGCAAACTGCAAATTGTAACGAATGGTCTTTTTAGACTGATGGAGCTCCAACAGAACTTAGAACAAAACAAAAATAAAATCAACAATTTTTATATGATATGCCTATTGCCTACTGATGGCTGAGGTCCGAATCGAGGCTGCCGAGCTCACTTCTGCAGCTATATGTATTCGCCGGAAGAGTGCCAGTGCGGCGTAACTCCGCTGATTGGTACCGATTGCACTGAAAACAATTTCACCCAAAACTGGCGAGTAAACCGGTGTCTCGCGGGTACCCCTATCCGCAACCATTTTTAACCACCCTCCCAGGAGTCAATTTAGGACATAACACTTTCGCAATTCACTCTGGAGAGTAGTAACCCTCCACGACTATTCGCGCACCAGTGGCTCGCGACCCCTCCATCGAAAGGTATTCATCGACGCCTACCTGGCAGCAGCGCCCCACAAACCCCTAGGAGATGGGGTTACCCTCCACGCCTACCCTTCGCCGACCAAGTCACGAGGGCCAAAAAAACTCCCACGCTTGACCATATTTGCGGGAAATTATCTATATTATAGCAACCTCACACCTAGTAAACATCGGTGAGAAAGTTTCACATCGGTGGGAAAGGTCAGATCGAATTCCCATAGAAATTTCGACATGACTCATTCACCGGCAATCATGCAGACCGCCTGAAATCAAGAAGATGTGTCGCCGCTGCTTTCGTGACCTATATACGTGTAAGAATCTAAATGGTTTCACTAGGTAGTTTCGGAAGAAAAAGCGTTGCCAATCGTCCCATGATGAATATTGCAGAGGTTTTAAACGTGCACGGTGCACCCTATAACAATTGTACTTTCGCCCCCACTTGGAAACCGCCAAACATTGTGCCAATATATCATTGGTTAAAAAAAAGTTAAAAAATTGTTGTAATTCGAAACTGTATGAGACAACGCCATCTAGTTGTAACAGTAGATCCAACTCCTTCAGGGCAGGTTATGTAAAGGTTCGCCATCCACGGATACGCGTTTACGATGCCTCGAGTAGTTCTAACTCTTTCAGTGAGGGCTGTGTCAATGACTCGACACACGCGGGGACAATATCCGGTGCTGGGTAGCTACCTTACTGCAGACTGTGGGTGCAGTGCATATTTACGAGTAATAAGGCAGGCAAGTCTGCTTACCCTCTAGCTAGAATCTGGACATGGCGAGTTAAAGGGACTATCCCACCTTCTAAAATGTTGTTAAAACCAGTTAAATTGTGCCCGACTTTATAGATTGGATGACCAGGAACACCATTCTGCCATTTCACTAAACATCTTAGGCTTCCCATATTCCAAACACAAACTTTCAAATATGTGACGTCACAGCCCAAAATTACCTCCTTCCCCAGGCCACATTACTGTCATAAAGCTGATTCTTTTTACTCTGTAGGCACCACAACAAAGTTCAGACCAAGTTTTAAGTGATGTTTCAACGAACAAACCCATTTAAATCAGAATGACTAAACGAGGTGACGTCACACTAACGGTCGCTCCATGTTGAAGA